GCGATTACCTGTTTTCGTGTTTATTCTCTGCTAGACATGATAAAAGGATTAAAGTGAAAAATGTATTTTTAAGATTATGAATATTGTTTATGGAACTAGTTTACCTCCGATAATTGATCAACATTTTGAAGATTTCATGATGAAATTTTATTAACTCAGTCTATTATTATGGAATCTTTTTACATTGCTAATATATAAGAATTATAGATTTATTTTGATAGTTTATGGAGTCATCAGATTTAATGACTAACAATTAATAAAAGGACAGTAGAATCTTGTTTTTATTGTGGGATTTATGTTCATTAATTTAACTGTATAATTTTTTCTCATGCATATCTTAGCGGAATTTCCTTCAGCAAAAATACGTTTTTAACAATCATAAAGAAAAACAAAATAAAGGTAGTAAACGTATGAAAAATCAAAAGTGTCAAACCAACTTAATTTATCAAAATTTTCAAAAATTAGAATATTTCAGATGGTTTAATTACTTAAAAGAAATTCTTAAATTAATTAAGTACAGTTTCTTCACCATACTCTTCACATGCTGACGATTCTTCAGCTAATAATTGCATCCATATTTTCTGTATAAAACGTTTTTGCTTTCTGCTTTTAATTTTTTTTGTTTTAATTGCTGTCAGAACATAAAAGCTCTAAACATTAGTCTCAAATAAGATAAGGAATTCCACATTCCTTAGAACCTTCTTCACCCTCCCACTAGGCAGATAGTCCTCGAGTTGCTCGTCTTTAATTAACTTAACTTCTGCGTTGCCGCAGTAGTTAGCACGTCCAGCTAATAGCTGGATGATCCAGTGCTTGAATCCCGTGAGACCACAGATGAATTCTCCTGTTTCTCGCTCGCATAAAATGGTGACACCCAAACCAAAATATGGTGGACTCATCTCCAGTAATAAGACAGTGGACGGAAAAGAAGCGTACTAAAACTGGGCAATGCATTTTCTAAAAAACATTATTTAATACATCTTGTGAGATTACTGTCAATAAAATTCAAAATTCTTGTATTTGTGATCGTCAAACTCGGATTAAAAATAAAGTCTGCAGCAAGGGTCTTGATTTAAAAGATACCTTCAAGAGACCGCTGCATATTTTCGCTTACTAACGGTCGGACATGATTGCTTGCCTGCCCACCTAAACAAGATAGGAATTTTCGAAAATTCAGTTTTCTCTCTGCAACTCCTTCTTTATCCTGCTCTAATAGAGATTTCTGTTTGAACCTTATTGGGAAGCTCGAGATCACATATAAAATTCTCTTTTTATTATTTTAACATTTTTACTTTTATTGTAAAAAGTAAAGGAAATATTGTAATCGCGAGCAATTTAGGATACTATTCCTTTTAACCGCTCCTGAATCCATTTGGGCGACATTTGTTTCGTGATATCTGCACGAACGGCAGGATAAAGGGTACTTTTTTTTTTTTTTTTTTTTTCAAAATTAATTGTAGAATGGATTCAGATGGGAAATTTTTCCGTAACGTTTGTACGTATGTACGTATCTATGTATCTCGCATAATTGAAGAAAGATTAACCGTGCAATGTTGAAATTTTGTATAGGAACTGCGATAACATCTACTTGCGCCCCTGCAATTTTTTTTTTACAATCGATCGTACCAAGCGTATATATGTAAGATAAAAAATATAAAAATATAAAAACAAACTTTAAAAATATAAAAAGCAAACTTCTACTTTTAATTGGATATAACCTCTTTTATTTTTCATTTAATTTGGGGGGGGGACTTCCTCTCTCTATCTTAAAAATAGCGCTATAAATCTAAACTGCGTCATTCAAATTAATCATACGATCCTATGTAACGCTTAATGTAGATACCTCTTGCCGAATCAAATAATTGTAAACCAAAACTTTTTTAACTCGGAACTGAAACTTTTTGACTCCCTCCCTTCTTCCTCTGAATCGCTGCGACACTCGCTCATGCTTTCCTCCTGACAAGACGCTTTGCGGCCACCTTCTTTGTTCACTGAAAATGTGCTGAGCTAGCAAAAATGTAGGGCACATAAGACGCTGGTCCGTATGTAAATCAAATATTGCGGATCCAGAATTGTTTTCTGCAATAATAAAATTATCTTGAATGCGGCCATATCCAATCCCTTACCCGGCTGGATGAGCTCTGTAGTTTATTCTTATATTTTGTTAAATAGTCCATTTTTTATTTGAAATTAATTGAATTAGATTGTTCTTATGATCTAGTTAAGGCTTTTAAGCCTTCAGTTTATCTGCATGCAATAGTTGTAGAATTATCAAGAATTTAAAAGTGTAAGTGAAGCTAACGTGACAGATTTGCTTTTATCAGAAATTCATACTGGTTTAATGAATGAATTAAGTTGGTGCACCAATTTCAGGATCATTCTCTCCAGCGGTGACTTGGCTAAATTTTGGTTCACCTAAAATTTTGTCTTCCTGTACGTTGGCACAATTATTGTTTTTGAATACAAACTCTAATTGCAAAAACTGTTTTATTAACTGTTTTTAATTGTATTCGGTGTTTTAGTTTACTTTATTTGAAAATTTATAATGAGCATGTTTTGAGTTTTTATGTATTTTTGCCTTCCCGTGGAGCGAGAACTGAACTGTTTTAATAAGAAATATATGTCCAGTAAAGTTCGAGGAAATTTGTTTAAATGAAGTCGTGCAAAAATATGTATAATTTAATAACGCGTACAAGGAAGCCATGTATAATCCACTTCAGATTTGTTTTCTTATTTTGTCTGAGTTTTGTTTCTGTTTTTAAATTTAACTGCATCTTATTGCATAAAGACAAACTCCAAAGATAATATAATAATAATGCTGATGACGATGTTGCTTCGTTACCATCAGGATTTGGTCAACTAGATCATGTCATTCCGTATGTGGGAGAAAATGTAAACACTTGCTGCATTCTCCCATAAGTGCTGTTGTGTTCTCAGCTAGAAACTGAAAGATCCAGTTGATACGTTTCTAGCTCCTGAAAAGGCCTCGGGGTTGAAATCTGTTATCATGCAACTACATACCTATTATTAAACTGGTAAAATTTGATAAATTTTGATAAATTGTTACCATGGGGTAATATATTGAAAAGCGTTAATATCCATACCTAGTTAATAATCCATAGCTCGCGCTGCAGGTAAGCTAAAAAATGGCGTAATATGATAGTTTAATCCAGAATTACTTTAATAAGTCAGTTTAAACTAAATGAATGGTTAATAAACTAGTATAAACTGCACTTTAACTGTCAGGCCTTAACTTATTTATTTTCTAATATAAGGTGTTAAATAATTTCTAATATCTATAATTTAATAACAACGACCGAAAACAAGAAACACCTTAAGCACTTTCTAAGCAAATATTACACCCACATTTAAATGTTTTGCAAGCAGTTTATACTAGAAATGAATGTGGGAACTGCTCATTCACTAAAACCGAATGCTCATGCGCGGATATTCCACGAGCATTCCGACATTCAAAGCAGCTCACCGGAGCGGAAATGACGACAATAGCATCGAAAAGCGCAATCAGCTTCTCCGGAAGTGATTAACATATCCGAAAGCGGCTGCAAATTTCCGGAAGTTGCAAAACGGAAGCCTCTGGATTAACCTAGGATTGAGAGTGCCACAATAGGTGTGGTTCGTGAGGAGTTCAGATGGATAATTCAAGAAGAAAGCCTGAATCCTCGTGAACTGAAACTTCAGCTCCTTCTGGGATGATTTATTAAACGGATGAACGTATTTAATCGTCAGTGGGAGACAGTTGATGCATAATTAATTGAAATTACAAAATGCTTGAGAAATTACATTACTCACATTTGGGTTTGAAGCATTTATCGTTGAACTACAAAGTAAAAGGCGAAAATGCATTTTATTTCTAGCTTTTCATTTGGAGAATAATTTAGCTGCTTAGATTTCATATTTGAGAATTATTCTAATCTTTTACTCAATATTTCTCTTAGTTTAGGCTTTGTGATTAGTTTGTGATTAGTTTAGGCTTAGTTTAGGCTTTGTGATAACGATATTAAAAGGGATTCTCCACTTCAGCTTTATGGAAGCTTCGAATATTCTGAATATTATGATTCCAATACAGTTCCTTTATGTGTATAAAAAAACACAGTATTTTGACCAGCATTAATACAGAGTATACACAAATATCCATCTTATTTTTTGATTCCATTATCTGTTGCCTTCCATTCTTATTTTTTGAAAATTATAAAATTATTGATTCTGGTATTTTTAGCAGATGAGTTTGTTTAATGTACACTTAAGTCCGATATGACAATTTTTGAAAGATCATGGGTTTCTATGTAAATCTTTCTTTGTATGTTTGTTTACATGCATCTTTTTTTTTAAACTGACAAATTTAAAAAAAAAAAGTAACGTAAGTGTTATAAGTGGCGAAAAAATTTTAGATAAAACTCAGTTACATTAAACAGAGTTATTAGAATTCCTGTCTAGAAGTTACAAAAGATAAGTATTTATACATTTAAATGTTTGAAATTTCGAAAGTACTGTGTATGTATGTTTGTTGTTTGATTTTTTACATGAAGCTCCACAAATGGACTTTTGGAAAGAATGTTTTGTGCTAAATAAAGATATTTTCACAGTTCTTAAAATTAAAGGGGAAAAAATCAGAAATACTCTTTTCAGAAATCGAATTAGAAGTTAAAGAAAAGGATCGCTGTCAGACATCCATTTTATACTTATACACTTTTATCGGAAACCAAAATAATATTTTTATGAAATGTATATATTGATATTATATCTCAAGAATGAATGCTCAAATGGAAAGATGTCTTATTACAGCTTTACGCATGCTAACATGAGAATCTGGACTACAGTACAGGAATGTTTGTACTGAAACATGAAAAAGAATTTAATGTCTCAGAACTTTGACTCCTGAAAACTTAGCTATTTTGCATTACTAATGTTAAAAATACTACTATTTCACATAAGTTAGATACAGATGATCAAAGTTTCATTGGATTGACATACGAAATGAATAGCTTAAAAAATGTACAAAATATTTTATTGAAATTTAGTTTTACAAAAGAACTTTTGGATTAATACACATGCATCAACGATTGATTCTTGATATTAAATGCTTCTGTACGGCCACTTAAACGTGAAATCTTGATAATATATCTCTTAGTTTTCTGCATTCATTACTACGGATAGAGTCCTGCCTCCTGTTGAGTTTCTCAGCACGTACCTAAAAATCATAGAAGAAATTTAACAAAATGGCTTCGAGGAAAAACAAAGCTTAACATTTTATTATTTTATGCTTCAAAAACTTTTTATTTTTTTTTTTATTTTTTACTTCATTCCCCTTCTGTAGATTGTGAGAAATCAGTTAAGTGAAAGATAAAACCTCAAATAGCCAAATAAGTTGATTCAAAGTCTTATATTTATATTTGAACAATATCTAGTATTTTTGTATAATCAATCCGTTTCGCTAATGAACAATTCGTAAAGCAGTTTTTGGTAAGCATAGTTGTTGTCCATTATCAGACAGTCAGAACCTGCAGCTGTCTAAAACCAGCTGCTGTATTTCTTCGAACGGAAGATATTAGGGTGTACATCTATTACATTACATTCCTGAGCATTGTGGAAAGATATGCGTTTATTTAATCAGACTATACTACATCAATAATTTACAGCTTTCAAAAAAATTTTGTTTCTTTCATATTTAGTTATTCATATTCTGTCCATGGATTCTTCCTGATGAAATCATGTAATAACCAATTTAAAAACTTAACCTTCCAGCATGCGAGCTTGGCAATTTTACATGAGCACGCGGGTTTCGTATTTTTTACGACATCCGTTATTTTACCGTTTTTGGCACGAAAAACGACAGAAATGAGTGAATATTGACAATAAAATTGTTAAGAAATGAAATATTAATCATATTATTGCAAAATACATATGATATCACATTTAAATATAGGTAAATTATTTTTAAGATCTTATGTTAGTGAGATGGAAATGCAATGATATATTTCATTATAGAAAATTTTTAATTTATTATTTAATAATTATATTTTAAAATCGAAGCTAATTTTAATATTCATCAAAGACAAGTATAGACAATAAAAAAGGAAAACGCTTTGGTAGGAAAAAAGTAAGTTTAGCATTACTTACTTCTGCAAGGAAATTTACTTCTTACTGGTTACAAAAACGCAGTATTTTATTAACTAACTTTAATGCTTTTATTTATTTCTAAAAAATAGAAATGAAAGAAAATAAGGAAAGGAAATCGCTATTGTTCTCTCATCCAAAGGTTTCCTTGTCTTCCTTTTCTTCATCAGATAATTCTTGAACAATCCGAGAAAAATCAGCTGATTGCACATATATTTTTTGCCATCAAAACCGATATAAAATTTACAGAGCCGAATGCATTCAAATTAAAATAATACGCTGCAATTAATAACACAAAAATACAAAACATTTGAGGAAAAAAATATTTTATGAATTTTAGAACACGACCACTCGCGCGTCGTAACTTTTATGAAAAAGCTGCCACGTAGCACAAAAGCCCAGTTAAAAAAAAAAGTCAAATGACTTCCTGTTGGCGCATTCCATGATGTGGTAAATGGTAGAAGGGAGGAATAGAAATGACCGTCAGACGTCTCAGCTTCGATATGCGAAAAATGTGCATTAAAACTGAATTTGTCGTAAATTTTGGGCATACGTGCGTGCTGGAAGGTAAATAATCATTCATCATGGCCGATGTGAATGGATCTAAGTGACTGGAAATGGAAATTAGATTTCTGACAAGCAAAGGACTAGGGATGCACAAAGCACTGGTTTCAAGCCATACAGGCATTGCCAAGTCTAGGATTTATACTGCTTATCTTTTCATGGGTTCAAAAAGTAGTTGTCTGGAATACATTATCGATGTCGTGTGTCTTCAGCAAAGACAAACTGATACTTTTTTAATCGCTGTAAATCATTACCACGTGCTTGTCCTACCTCATCGTACATTTCCAGTCTTCTTGACGCGTTAGCAATGTGAAAGGATCTCTACGAAGCCCAGAGCCCCATTCCGAAGCAAATATGCAAACTCTAAAGAACTTTTTCTGAAACCGTCTAGTTTCAAGCATTTTACTCAATACCAACGAAGATAAAGAATGTATGTTCAGATGCGGGGAACACAGTTTCACGCAGTCTGCTGGAATGCTCAATATCTGATTATGAAAATTTCCATTTACATCACTTAACCTGTATACTTACCTGCTTCCGAGGGTTGATATGTAATTTTATTATTAGATAAAAGTTTCTAAGATATATTTACAGATATGATACAAATATTATTGCCTTTTTCAATTTATTTAAAATTAAACAACAGGAAATGCACAATAATTCAACTTTAATTTTCTAACCTGAATGTATTTTCATTGCTTAATAATAATTACACTTACGTTTCACCAGCTTGCAGTAACATTGTTTGATTTTCTATAAATTCATATGTTTTGTTCCCTACTTCTACTTCAGATTTTCCTTCCTGTAATCAAAATTAGTTTTTATGTAAATGCGTGTATGCATAATATATATGTAATACATTCTATAGAGTAAAGCATCAAATACAGGTAACCTGATTCTTTACTGCATGGATACATGACATGACATAACGGAGGAGAAAAACTGTGCAGACGTTACGTTGATTCAACACAGTTTTATTTAGTAATGCAGCAAGTCTTGACATGCATAAATATGTTCACACATCATCATTATGGTGTGCTATGCAGCCCTACAATTTTATACAGCATATATTTTTTTTAAAGAACGAGATGGTGCAGCAAACGATGTATGTTTTAGAAAGCAGCAAGAGATGTAGGATAAGGGCTGCACTTTAGTAGCAGCGATATTTATAGACAAAAGTTTTATTAATTTTGTTACGTGTGCACAGGTTCGTAACAGACTGAATGCACGCAGGTCCGGTGATAGATTAATACAATTTATTTTATCAAAAGAAACACTTCAGAGTTCTGGAACTTTCCACAGAAATACACGGACAGGTGTTCACAGTATCACAGAGAACAATCAGTAGATGCACTTCAAACTCCTAATAACGTAAACAGAATGCGATGCAAAGCGCATCTAGTGAGGGAAGTTTTGTCAGTACTCCGAACCCGCGCTGAACTAACAGCTAATAACAACAGCTGAGGGATTGATGCTCTTTCCGGTTTTATACAGTTTTGGAGACAAAATTTAATCGTCAAAACCGTTGCCAGCTTGGTGATATGTATAAAATCGTCTTTTTAACGAATTACTATAAAATCGTCTTTTTTAACGAAATTAATAAGTGTAATGCATCTCATATTTCAAAATTTAAAGAGTGTGGAAAAAAGAATTTAACGTAGATAAAAAGTACTTAAACAAAGAGCAATGAAAAGACTGTTGTGAAATGCCCCACGGCTAAGCGGTGAACTAGCTTCTCCCCAAAGCAGGCGAACTTAGGGTTGCCAGAAAGTTACAGGGAAAGGTAAGTTGCCACATGTGGCGCGAAATTTGCAATATCTCATAGACGAAGCGAGAACATTCTGGAACGCATTCTAAGAGGTTTTCTCGGAGGGGGGGAGTAGTTGAGTTCAGAGATTAGCTTGAGAGCGACCAATCGAATTGAGAGCTGTATTTTAGTGCTTTGCCGTGAAGCTGTCTTAACCATTAAGCCTGAAGGCTGTGTTGCTGATTGTTTCACCGTGTTTTTCGTGTTTGAGTGTGAACGTGTCTTTTGAACTGTCACGTGTAATAGAGCTTACTGGCGAATAAATTGTGTTTTTTTTCATCATCAAATGTTATCATCAATTAGTCCAAATCCACGAACCCGTAGAACGCGATAATACTTTATGCAAAGCACGTTTATATCAGGTAATTTTCAGTCATATAAATGAATAACGGAAATCAATAGCCTATAAAGAAAGGAATATAATATTCTTTTCGATGTTAGATTTTTAGTCGCTTTACTATAAATGAACTTTATTATGCATAAATCGTCTGTTGGAATAAGTGAAAATTTACACTTCTTATATAAAGAAGGAAAACATCTCATTTGTTTCCCACATGATATTCAAATATATTTCCAAGTTTTCAAGGTATTTTCAGATATTAAAACCCCGATATCCGGAAGAAACACGTTCACAGCATTTCGGGGCGATAAGAATACTGAAGGCAATATGTTAATCAATATTAGTGCAATTCATATAAACAGAGTCCGCCGAAAACATCGCGGCAAAAGCATCGCCGACGAAAACGTCGTGTTACAAACCATCGCGGAATAAAAGAAAGCAAAGAGAAAACATCGCAGTTCTAAAACATCGTGGTACAAAATATTGTCGTCGAAAATAAAGCGGTTCAAAAACTTCGCGGTTTAAAAACATCGTAGTCGAAAATATCGTGGTAAAAAATAAAGTACCTATTAATCATCGCATGACGATAACACCGCACACATGCGTTTTTCAGGTTTTAAGAGCTGTAAATGCATTTTCGCATTAAGAGTTTGGAGGGCAAGAAGAAAGGTGGGATATTTTTACTTTTATATTTCATATTTTTGAATGAACTAATAAAATTTTGCTGAAAAAGTATGAAGGAAACTTAAGCATTTGGCAATTGAAACTGAGAAGAAAATTAATGCAGCTTATAACACTTAATAGAACTTTAAATTTATATAACTAATTAGCAAATGCCATTAAGAAATTAGTCTTTTTTAAAACGTTTTACTCATAATTTTCATGAAAAGTGGAGCCTAAAAATATTTAGTAAAAGGAAGATAAATAACTGCATGAGGTTACCTCTATAAAAATTGCCTAATTAATTATCAAATTACTTTCTTTAACGTTTATTAATCTGATACTGTTACTCTGTTTTGGTGAAAATTATACCTTGTTTTTTTTCCATTTATTCTTGAAGTTTCGTTAATATATCTTGCGCTTCCAAATCTTTACGCAAATATGTATCTCTAACTTTTCAAAACCTGAGAAACGCATGCGTGTGGTATGAACGTCATGCGATGATTTGTAGGTGCTTTATTTTTTACCACGATGTTTTCGAAGAACTTTTAAACTGCGAAATTTTTGAACCGCTTTATTTTCCACGATGATGTTTTGTACCACGGTGTTTTAGAACTGCGAAGTTTTCTCATCGCTTTCTTTTCTCCCATGACTTTTGTACCACAATGTTTTCGCCTTGCGTTGTTTTCTCCGCTACGTTTTCGTCCGAGATTTTTGGCTATAACCTACTAAATATATATAATAAAATTTATTTGATAAATCACAAAAAGAAAGATATTACATTAAATAAAACAATACTTAAGTGCATGCTGCATTATACATTTACGAGTACTATGTATTTCCTTTATTATTCTCACTAATGAACATGAAAACAAAGCATCTTGATATTTTATTCTAAACCTGAATGTTTACAATGCCCAGCTATGAAACAATACAGCAATGGATAAACACTAAATCCGTATAGGAAGATATCATGCGCAATTTCGGGAAGCGATAAATAAGCCAAAATTATGCCTTTCAATCAGCGATCTCCATAAGTAATAAAACTTTAAACTGCTTGCAAATACTTGTAGTAATGATAGTAATTGGATAACAAGTTCTCCAATGAGAATTTAACTTGCTGCTTTTCAACACATCAGGATCCATTCTCATTTTCTAACTTAGAGACCGCTTTTTAATTTAATTTTTCAGAATTCTTTTGACTAGGAATTAAATCATGGATAAATGAAACCGCAAGAGCTGAACCAGTTGAAATCAGGGACGACCGTAAACCAAAACCGAACCACCCATCAGCAATTAGGAAAACCACTAAAAGTAAATATTATATAATTTGAATATTCAGATAAATTTTTTCCTGAAATTTATTACACATCATTAAAGAAATAAAACTGATTTTTTAATTCATTATCTTTTGGCAGTTTTTAAAAATTATGCGATTTTAAATTTAGCACGCGTTAAAGTTGGAAAATTATACAAAACGCTTTATACCGAAACAGCTTTAGAAATATTTATTTATGTCTAATCGGTATTCCTAATTCACATCGAAAAGTACATTATTTTTCAAGAAGTATAAAATACTCGAATGTGAATAAAATGCTTAAGTAAAAACTTAGATTTATATTTTTAGAATTTTTTTCTTTCGCCTTTCAAGAAAAACGCAAAACCTATTTTATCCTAATATTGCTATTAAAAATTCAAAATTCAATTAATATCTTTGTAAGAATGTTTTCATAAATATATCGCAATGATTAGATTACAAATTTATAACAGTGTTTGACTATGCACTTTTAAAAATATAAAATTAAATACGTTGTTTACGATTCGAATGGAATGTATCGGCTTACTGTAAAAATATGCAATATAAAATAAAATTATTAATAATCGCTGTAAGAATAAATTTAATTTCATATTATTTTATTTAATAAATACACTTGAAAAATTAAGTTTGCTCTTGTTTCCTTAAATACAGACTGTAAAATGTAATTAAAATCATGGAGATTTAAAATACTTTTTCAAAACATCTGTGCCGCTGATTTTGTAACAAAATAGTATCGTATATGTTACCAATATATACAAGAAGTATATGAAAAACATTTTTCCCATTTTGCCTCCATAGGATATCTTTACGAAATATGGAAAATAATACGGAAGTACTTGCGTTATCCTACAGCTGATATGATGCTGTTCCCCATCGATAATCTCAAAAGAATTATTTTCGCATACAGATGATTTGATGATGCTCATTACATTTATCAACAATAAAATAAAACAAAACTCAAAATGGCTTTTAGTGCTAATAAACACATCGCTTTTCCAATTAGCATCCTCCAGCTTTTACGATCTCTTATAACTTTCTTTAATGATACCAATATTTTTGCTCATGATTCTTTTGGTGATTTGTCTATCGATAACCTAAACGATTTAACAATCCTTAGAGACTTTTAAAGTCTTATTTCCGAATGCAACAATAAAATAACTCACAAGCAGATTAAGCTCATTCCTCTCGAGACAAGATAAAGGAAGAAAATATACTCTTCAAATAACCAGCCAAGTTTTATTTAACTTCAGCATTGGCACTTTTTTCTCACCTGTATCTCCAGAAGGTGAGCTTTTATGTTAGTTACTTCCTAGATTTCTTTCTTATTGCAGTGTTATTTGCTTTCAAGAATACTTTTTTGTCGCAAAGGATGGAAATATTTTCCGTCTTTTGTCTCGAGGGTGTATTGCGTCATTATTTTCTTGACTGAGGATGTCTCTTCCATTGTCTCTCTAAAGACAGCTAATCTACTTGTATGCCTCTTTTTCCTCCATTTTCAACTCGAGACATTTTATTTCTTTTATCTTGCAGTTGACGCCTTTGTTCTGTCACCAAATATTTTATTTGCTTTGCGGCAATCTCATTTGGTGTTGTTTTTATCTATACCTAGCGAACCAGTACAAGTTGTGAACACGACTAGTCGATATATATGTTTCTTTTACGAAACGTAGAATTTTTAATAACTAGTATAAGAAAGCAGGCAATACAAAAAAATTTAAATCACATGTATAGCCATATATCTGAGCAAAATCAAAATTAAGAAGCTTTAATATTTATAAAATAATTGTTATTGCTTTTTCGAATGAAAGCAACTTTGTAGATGCTTGATAAATAATACCAGAAAATATGTCCTTGTTTAAAAGACGATAAAATGAACCACCTGATATTTCTACTAAATAATAATTCGTTGAAACTGCATTTTGTATATATTGTAATTACTTTTATACCAACTGAATATATTCCTTCTTTAATACTTATATAAATTCTAACATTTGTTGCTCTGATGGGAAAGAGTGGCATGCCAATTAATTGTACGTAAAAGTAATAGACATCGTAAACTAATGAACATTTTCAGCTGCAACTGAAAACGACAGTAGGGATGAATCGCCGGAATAGCTCCTGGTAAAACAAAATCTGGGTTAATGACTGTTGCTTTACAAATTCACGATTTTCTCCTAAAATTAAATTTGCCTTTTTCAAATAACTAGTCAAAGCAAGCCTAACAGGCATGTAATAAAGCATGGCTGTAAAATAGCAAGCTTTGACTCGTAGAAACAAAGTGGCCGAAAGGCAGATCACGGTCTCTAACTGAAGTACCTCAGATCTCAGCTTAAATCGTAGTTTCTCCCCTATTTTGCATAAAATGTGAAACTGAAAACTCATTCTGGTAGGAAAATAAGAACGTATAGGACAGCCAGCCTTCCTTAAATAAAAACAGCTAATAATAAATAAAAGTAATAATAAATAAAGTAAAACCCCTACCAATGTTCACTATTTAAAAAAAATAACTTAGTTTAAGTTGTTACTCACTATTTGCCATAGAAATGTTTCAGGTATGTCAGCATCTGGAACATGAGAGCCTTTTCCCAACACATACACCTGAAAAAACCCGGCTGATTGTTAGCTACAGTAAAAACATTTTAATAGGAATTACACAAAAATAGAAAATAATTAAATGCTTAAAATTCAAGTAAAATAAAGTTATGGTTTATTATTATGTAAGATTTGTATGACTAACTTATATAAAATAGAAGCTTAATTTATTAAAATTGCCTGTCGAGAAATATTAAAATTCAGAAAAAAAAATGTTCATGAATTCGAAAGTGTTTGTTACTCAGTTGTAACTACATTCATGAGCACACTAAAGAGAATTTGCAAATTGAGTATTTTTTCGAAGTGTATTGAAGCAAAGTTTCTAATTACGCCGCCAAAGAAGTATGAAAATATTCAGAACCGAACACGCAAGCGTAAACGTGGCGTATCTTCGCAGCTGTGAGTGTGGAAGGGGTACAAGCGCAGGAGGAGTTTTCGGCCATTTGTGTGCTAGTACTCCTTCACGACATTCGCCATATTTCTCGAGAGAATAGGGTAACTTTTTAGGTTATCCTGTAAAATCAGTAGCCACGAACGTATGAATGATGGAATTAAGTGTAGAATTGTCCGTAGATTAGAAGCAGGCCATTCACAAGCGCAGGTGGCTATAAAGCTTAATGTAATATCCAGTGTCGTCCGCAATTTGTGGGAACAGCTTCAGGACACTGAATCCATATCGAGAAGATATGGACAAGGTCTACCAAGATCCACAACGGCGAATGCATATCTTTATTTGGCACTTTCAACCGCGGCAACGCAGGACTGGTACAACTTTACAGTTCTCACGTGAGCTATCGCTGCCACTGGAAGAGTTTCACGGTCTACGTTTGGCAGAAGGCTTCACGAAGTACGGTCACGATATCCCACTGACTGCAGCACATAAGAGAGCGTCTTAAGCATGGTGTACACAACATGCGCCTTGGACCAGACTTTAATGGAGGACTGTGCTTTTTACAGATGAACAGGAATTCAACCTGGACACCTATTCTCGGCTTGCCTGTATTTGGAGAGAACCTGGAACACGATACTCCCTCCTCAGGGAAAAGGATCATTACGGAAGTAAAATGGTTTGGGCAGGCATTATGTTGGTTGGCTGCACACCCTTGCATGTATTTGAGAAAAGCTCCTTGACCGTTATGAGTAATAGACAGGAAATCCCTATGTTTGACTTTTCAGAGCCGCAGCTAGTCCTGGGTTACTGTTAATGAATGGTAACGCTAAGTTGTGGCTCAGTAACCTAGAGTTCAGTTGGTCGACGATTATCTGGAAAGTGAGAATATTCGCCGCATGGACTAGCCAATCAGATTTCCTGATCTTAACTCCATACAGCATAGGTGGCGCACTATTGGATATTCACATCAAGAGTGATAAAGACCATTTTTAAAATTTTCCCAATGGTGTTGTGATGAATATGTTATTTTGGTATAAATTAGACGGTAAGTGCATGATTTTACGATGACAGTAAGCATATTGCTATAAGATATCGCATATTTTTGCATAATGCACCAGGAAAATTAAAAGGAAGAATTAACATTAGAACAGCAGATTCCAAATGGTGAATTTAGTTTATGTCTCAAAAGGGGAACCTACTAATATTTTATCTTAACTGAATTTTAAATAATTTGATTTTAGTATTATTTGACAGTAATTTTCATTTTGAATGTTCGGTGTTTAGTAAGTATGCACGATCGCAGTATTACATAAGAAACAAATGAATAAAAATTAAATCAATTAAACATAAAAAAAGCATATCAGTACTTTAAATTCAAAATATATGCTGGTTTCAGGACGGAAACAATAGAAATCAGCTAATTTATATACGCTTTTTGAAGTTATTTAAAAATATATTTAAGATTTTATCTTACGTATATTTTCTTTTTGAAAAGCAAAAATAATGAATAAAAAGGCATTTCAAGATATTTTTCCTCTGCATGTACCATACATGCAAATATGTAGAAATGTACACTGCTCAAAAAAAAAAAAAAAAAAAAAAAAAAAAAATGGGACAGTGCTATATCTCCCGTTCTACTGGGGCGATTGACAAAATTCAAACTACGTTTTTCATGTCTCGAAAGCGCGACTTAGGATATATATTAGATTTATATATAGTACTATTCTAACATAGGTATTTTGACACAAAATCGGACTTTTTCTGAAATAACATACCAATTTTTTTACATATTTCGATTCTACGACTCAAATTATGCCAGAATACCAAGTTTTGTAAAAATCGTACGATTAGTTTTTAAAATATTAGCTCTCAAAATTTTAGCTCCTCAATGTTAATTGAATTTGGCAAATATTTATTAATATCTCTTTTTTTATTAAACTTTTTTTGATTTTTTCTCTCACATTTCGAAATTTTGGTTCATTCCAAATAAAATTTACCCATTTTTTGCGTTTTATTTTTTAAATTTTTATTTTTAAATAATTTCTATAGATTTTTCGAAAAAAATTTTGAATTATAACCTATAAAATTTTTACCATCATCTTAAAGTAGGTGTATTTTTAAGCATATCTGCAAAAAATTAGACTTTTTTACTCAAAATTTTCTAAGATATACACGAATTTACATAATTTCGCGTTTTGAAATTTGGCACCTTTTTTTTGAGCGATAATAACGCCAAATGTGGTCTATGGATTTTTGTTACACTGAATTGCCACAGCTATTTTTAACCTTAAACTTCAAGTAAAATTTTACGGAGAATTAATTATATGACATTTTTTCCCCTCAATGATGCGTAATAAATATTTATTAATACTATATGAAAGGCTATTTTTTTAAATTATAGATGATATTATTCAAATTTTTAACTATTTTTTTTTTTAATTTCTCTCGTATCTTTTCTTTTTTAAAAAATTTAAGAGTAAGTTTTTGTAAGAGTAAATTTTTACCTTCGGCGTTTTATCGTCTGCTACTTTACTTCTTACTTCGTTTAAATCGAATTGTCTAAAACTGAGAATTTTCGTTTGATATTTATTTGAATTTTATGACATTAACTGCATAATTTATTTCTAAACAAACTGTTGCTTTTGAAGTGGCTGATACTATTATCCATATTTTTAAAGCACAATATATTTTTATAGAAACATAATATTTAGAATAATCATTTTTATAAAAGTCAAATTATGATATAAACATACAACCCTCTAGAGACTGAATTAATGGAAGTTCAATGGTTATGTAGAAATGATCTGCAGCTACTTAATGGCTGGATAAGTCAGCAGATTCTGTGGACAAGTAAGAATAATTATATAAACGACACCAACATTCTGGATTCAATAAACAACGAGGATACGATGTTTACTAAATGAATTTAAGAAGTTTTAAAACATAAAAAATCAACTCATTTTTTTCCTAAAATGTATTTTTGTGCGTAGCGTATTTTCATTATATCCTTAAAATTCTAATTTAGAATGTAATTGTCAAGAACTGAATCCTAATCATCAGTAATATAATAAGTAATTATTATTGCTGTTATTAATAAATCCTTCTTATAAAGTAATTGCAAATATTTCAAAAAACTTTGTCTGAATGCAAACATTTTTCTATGCAAATATTTTTAATTTTTTATTAATCAAGATTGCACACCATATTACTTATTTCCACTTCAATTCTTACCGTCAGTTCTAGTAGAATTTACAAATCAATTATATTTAATTAAGGATTGAATTGGATTATTTAATTATGGCAAAGCACACGAGGGCTATCTGCCTAAAGGGAGGGATGCCTTCGTGGAGGACTTTCTAAGGGAAACTGGCTCGTATACACGTTACACATGGGGAAAACCACGAAACCGCCCATGCGGCCAGCCCGTTCGCGGGATTCGAAACTCGAACCGAACTACCAGTGTTCAGCGTCTTTACCGCTCGGCTGTTGGTGGGCTATTTAATTAAGGAATGACCATCTAAGTTAAGAAAAGGCGTACCGTAACAACATTTCAATTATTGGTTCCGTATCTTTCATGTTACTCCCGATTGGCAAGCTACAGGATTTTTAATGAGTATTCGGATTTTACTAGTAACTTCACTTGGAAATCGCGCTTAAACTAGGTTAGTTGGTTATTTGAACATAGAAAGAACATGGGAGCTATTTGATTAAGATGCTTTCATAGAGAATCTTTGTAAAGAGAACCTAAAAAACTACGAAAACCAACCATGCAGCCTGGGTTAGACTGAGCAGCAAACAATTAGTATTTAACAATCTTTTTTTTTTTAAAAATGCTAGGCAGCTGATGAGGCTTCAATTAAATCTCCAATTTAATATTTTATTTGTAAATATTTAAAATATTGTTGTATTCTTAGACACAAAAAGCAGAATTTAAGTTTTGTTAACTCGTTAGTAAACTACCAAGCCGTAGTGCAAATGAATATTCAATTTCTTTGGCAATAATTGTATTCACTTAATATTCTTGGAATATGAGCTAAAGAAGGAACGTTCTCGGAAGATTAAAGAAGTGTTTAAATCCAGTGATATTAGGTTTGTCTTACAAGCTCAGGATCAAAACGATTCTGCAATTGCCCGAGTAGTTGACTTGTAAATGGATGTGAATTAAGCAGATGACTTTTAATCTTACGTTATTCAGCCAGAAAACGTATTCCAAATGTTTTGTATTGCATGACAATGCATCTTTTCATTATTCAATAACCAGTCGGAGAACCGCTTGTGTTCGGAAAATAAGTATGTATATTCATCAATCGTCCTGCATGTTCTTCAAATTTGTCTTCTTGTGATTTTTTTTTCTTTCTCAAAAACTAAAGTTGCCTCTCAAAGGAAAGTTTTTTGACATTGAAGAGACAAAATTAATATGACATCTACTTTTAGAGGCATGTGAAAAACAGATCTCTACAAACCTTCTCTTCCATTACATGTTGTGCAGTCAGACAAAAAGTTACATCAGCGTAAATTCTATAATCTATTTTTATTACACTCTGATTACTTTATTAACATACAGTGAATATATACTAAATCTTTAACTTTAGCTTAAGTAATTCGGAATTTTTGA